GACAGTACTGGAGGTGTCAGTGGCAGACAGGGACGCTGTCTGGAGCCTTTGGCAGGGCCCTATAGGTGAATCATCTATAGGATTTGGGAGCAAGGCCCTACTTCTGAGCCACAGTAGAAAATGTAACCTTGACCATGGGCAACCGAGTCCCTATGCGACCTCGCTGCCCACCACGAACTGGGTGTTACCCAACCCATCAAGCTGTGAAGTCAGGTGTCGCAGCAGTACTCCCCCATCTCATGGACCTGGTGTATATGTGGGCAGCCTGAGCAGGTCCCAAAGGCACAAATAAGTTACACGAAGAAGTGGACCAAGTGCCCAAGGTCCCCCCTCCTGCTCTGCTGCCTTCTCTCCCCAGCCCACACCAGAGCCTCACGGCAGTTCCCCAGGAGCAGTGGCAGAGGGAGAGAAGACTCAGGCCTGCATGCAGATGGCTCTGCTCCATATGTGCCACCACCCAAAGGTGGAGAGCTGCAGCACTGCAGCCACTTTCTGGGATGTCCCTGAAGGGCCGTGGTGCAGGGAAGTCCCTTCTCAGTGGGCAGAACTTAGGGCAGTGCACCTGGCTGTGCACTTTGCTTGGAAGGAGAGACGTCCAGACGTGTGATAATATACAAACTCATGGGCTGTGGCCAACAGTTTTGTTGGAGGGTCAACGACTTGGAAGGAACATGATTGGGAAGTTGGTGGAAGGCTGGGCGCAGTGGCTTATGCCTGTAATCCTAGCACTCTGGGAGGTCAAGGCGGGTAGATAGCTCAAGCTCATGAATTTGAGACCAGCCTGAGTGAAAGTGAGATCCCATCTCTACTAAAAATAGGAAAATTGAGGCAACAGGAGCAGGTGAACCCAAGAGTTGGAGGCTGCTGTGAGCTATGATGACACAGTACTCTGTCTCAAAAAAAAAGAAAGTTGGTGAAAAATCTGTGGGAAGAGACATGCGGATAGACCTCTCTAAGTTGATAAAGAACATGGTATATGTATGTCCCATGTGAATGCCCTCCAACGGGTGACCTCAGCAGAGGAAGATTTTACTAACCTGGTGGCTTAGATGGCCCATTCTTTAGACAAATGCCAGCCTATTTCCCCAGCCACCCTGTTACTGCCCACTGGACTCATGAACAAGTGGCCCTGGTGGCAGGGATGCAAGTTACGTATGGGCTCAGCGACATGGCCTTCCACTCACAAAGGCCACCCTGGCTGTGGCCATGGCTGAGTGCCCAGTCTGCCAGCAGCAGAGATCAGCCAGGAGCCTCTGATGTGGCACCATTTCCTGGAGTGATCAACCAACTGCTTGGTGGCATGTTGATTACATCGGACAGCTTCCATCAGGGAAGGGGCAGTGTTTTGTCCTTACTGGAACAGGTGCCATGAATACAGATCTGCTTTCCCTGGACAGGATGCTCCTGCTGGAACCACCACCCATGGGCACACAGAACACCTCACCCAGCTTCACGGAACTCCACATCGCACTGCTTCTGACAAGAACTCACTGCCCAGCCACGGACAGGCCGCAGCGGGCCCTCGCTCATGGGACTCAGTGGCCTTACCATGGGATGGTAAGGATAGTGCTCTCCACCATCCCACGGCTGCTGGCTTGATGGAACACTGGAACGCACCTTTACAGTGCCAGCTAGCCATACCTTGCTGGGTGGGCCAACTTCTCCAAAAGCTGTGTAATATTATTCTGAATCTGCATCCAACATGTAGTGCTGTTTCTCTCATAACCGGGATTTATGGGTCCAGGAGTCAAGGGGTGGAAATGGGAGTGGCACCACTCACTGTCACCCCTTGTGACCCACTAGCAAAACGTTCACTTCCTGTTACTACTCCTTTATGCTTTGCTGGTCTAGAGAGTTCTAGAGGGGAAAATGCTTCCACCACTGGACAAAACAATCCCACTGAACTGTAATGTAAGACCAGTCCCGGACCACTCGGGGCTCCACATGCCACTGAATCAAGAGAGTTAGGGTGTTGACTGGCCCAGAGCGTCCAGGGGAAATCAGACAACTGCTCTCCTGCAGAGGTGAGGAAGGGCGTGGCTTCCAAATGGGGCATCTCTTGTTTTGCTATGCTGTGGTTAAGGTCAACGGAGCACTTCAATACCACAGTCCAAGCTGGACCACTAATGGTCCAGAGCCCTGAAGTATGAAAGTTACCTTGGTATTCCATCAGGTAAATGGCTGTGATGTGCTGGGAGGCTTATTGATGGCAAAAGGAATGTGGAAGGGTTGGTGGGAGAGGCACTTGTAACCATGTGAACAGTTACAGAAGTAGAGACTGCCATTGTCATGATTGTCATGAGTATTTTCTCCTTATTTTGTTCTGAATATGTGTATGTGTGCACATATATCTTCATTTTATTTCCTCTCTTATTCTCTAACCATATGACATTAGAGGTATTGACTTTATATCTTTGTACTCATTGTACTCAGTCTTATTAATTTTACATCATTGTATTTAAGTTATGGGATGTCAAGGAGAAGCCATAACGTCACTCCAGGACTTCACCTCCTCTCCTGGGGAAGCATTAGTGTGTTTCAGTTGTATGAAGGATAGTTGTAAGACATTAGGCAGAACGATAGCCTTGCTATTGTCATTATTTGGAGATTAAATATGGTTTAAGGAGATGTGTGTGGGTGCAGAGTTGACAAGGGGTAGCATCGTGATGGTTAATTTTATGTATCAAGTTGACTGGGCCATGGGATGCCCAGATAGCTGGTTAACCATGGCTTCTGGATGTATCTGTGAGGGTGTTTCTGGAAGAGACTAGCATCTGAATAGCTGAGCCAAGTAGAACAGAGGGCCCTCCCAGGCATGGGCAATCTACTGAGGGCCCAAAAAGAGGAACAAGGTTTGCACGAGCTGGACTTTAGTTTTCTCCTGTTCTGAACCCTTCTGGTTCACAGGCCTTCAGGTCTAGCTTGGAATCTCCTCCCTCAGTTCTCTGGGTCTCTGGATTTCAGGCCTTTGAATGGCACCGCCAGTTTACCCGACTCTCCTGCTGGGCTATTTCAGATTGTGGGGCTTCTCAACTTCCCACAGTTGTGTGAGCCAATTCCTTGCAAAAAAAAAAAAAAAGAAAAAAAATCTCTCCACATAGGTACACATGTCCCCATTGGTTCTGTTTATTTGGAGAACCCTGACTACCGATGTAAAAGGGAAATGAATGTTAGGTGAGTAACCAGCAGAGGGCTGTAATATCAGGGGTCACCTCTGTATTACACACCATCAAACACAATGCCACCAGAACACAACTAGATCTGACCTATGTGCTGGGGATCGTCCTCTAGGGTCTTCTCCTGGGGACAGCCTGGAATGCAGGGCAGGCTTGGAGATGGTAGGGTTGGGTGTTTTCAGGACAATACCTGCTGTGGATGCTAAGGGCAGACCAGAAAAGGAGCAGGGGAGAGGGTAGGAGGGGAGGGCCTGCTAGGAAAGTCCAGCTCCTCAGGGAGAGCTTCCCAGGCAGGGCACGGGGAGCTCAGGCAGAGGGTTGCACGGAGCCCAGGCAGAGGGTTTGGACTGCATTCTGCTTTCTTAGGCTCCCACCTTATTTGAAAGCAAATCGCGTTACTTTGGGTATTATGTATGGGAGGAAAAACATGTTTTCTTCCACCTTTATAGATTCTTTGGCGGGTCTGTGCATTAAACCGACATCACACAGATTATTAGCAGGGATAAACCATTTTACTGTGCACACTTATAGAGCTCATGAAAGGATAAAATTTGAAAGGGCCACAAGATTGAGCTGAGAGCAAGCAGTGCCTATTGCTCAGTGGTTAGGGAGTTTGCCCACATATACAGGGCTGGTGGGTTCGCACCTGGCCAGGGCCTGCTAAACAACAATGACAACTGCAACAAAAAAAATAGCGGGGCGTTTTGGCAGGTGCCTGTAGTCCCAGCTACTTGGGAGGCTGAGGCAAGAGAATCGCTTAAGCCCAAGAGTTTGAGGTTGCTGAGAGTTGTGACACCATGGCACTCTACCAAGGAGACATAGTGAGATTGTGTTTCTCCCCAAAAAAGATTTGAGCTGAGAAGAAACCAGTTGGGGGTCCTGTGGGGAGTGTGGAGGCAAACTTGGGTGGGGGAGGGGAGGAAACGCCCCTGGGTACAGATCGCTTTGTTATGCAGAGGGAGGTTCCCACTGGGTGATTGACGTTTCCTGGGGCACCTTTACTCAGGATCCTTTCACCTAGGGATGTAAAGTTTCTTTACAGAGGGGAGCTTTTCAGACTCTGCAGTGCCTCAAAAGGACCAGTTTCTGATAATAAATATGCCAAAGAAGTCACTTTGGGGTGGCTACACTAGCTTTCTACAGCCAAATTTGGAGGTGATGTACCCAGAGGCCTCACAGTTGCAAATATTGGAGACTCTGAAGTCCCAGGGAAAAGCCTTATCTCCTGAGCTGAGGTGTGTTCTACGTGTCCTCATCCCTACCCCAAGAGGCCTCGGGCCACTCCTGGGAGCCCCTTCTTCAAGGACGTTTCCAGGGCTGAGAAAGGCTGGCTGAGGGCCACTGAGGAAGGGTCCTTGTCACCGGCTTGTACTGGGGCCAGTAGTCCTCTGAGGCTGACTCCTAGGTCCTCACACAGAGGTCACATTGCTGCTACCCCCCACTTCCCCGCAGGCCACCTATGTGCGCTCATGAAGCAGTAGCTCCAGGGGTTCAGCGGGCCTGGATTAGCGCCCCTCTTCATCCAAGCTCAGTGCTGTGTTGGAGACCCCAGAGGTCCAGCGGACGTGGGGAGGGAGACGTGTTCCTCTGCAACCCTAAACTGCCCGCTAGAGCCAGACAGGGAAGTGCCCAGGCGTCTCCTCTGGGTCCCGCCGCGTCCGGGGGCTTCCCCTCGGGAAACTCCTCCCAGCGCTGCCACAGCCTTCCCTGGATCCGCCCGCCCGGGACAGCCGCTCCGGCCCGTCCCCTCTCCGAGCCCCAGGTGACCCAGGACCCGCGCGTGGAGGTGTCGCCCTGGGCACTTGGACGCCACCTCCTGAAATAAAAGCGAGAGTCAGGAAGGTTGGGGACTCCGGTGCCTGCAGAGGAGACGCGAGAGCAGTAGGAGGCCCGGGAGCCACAGGTGAGCGGCGCGCGCGACCTGCTCGCCGGGCCCGGGTCCTGGCGCGCTTACAGGGTTGGGAGGAGACTGGAGGGCCCAGGAACTACCCCAGCCCGGGTCGGGGTGGCTGGAGGAGAAGCCGGTTCAAGGAGCGCTACGCTGCAGGTGCGTCCTCCTGGGCTGAGCGCTGTGGGCCGAGCCGCAAAGCGCCCTCCAAGGGCCTGAAGGGGGCTGCACCGTGAGGACCCTTGGCGCGCGGTGTGGAACCCTGTCCCGGACGGTGTTGGTGTCACAAGACTGGGGCAGGTGGCCCTGCAAGTCCCTGGCCAATGGGTCGGCGAAGAGGGTGCCTCGGGGTCTCCTGGGGTGGGGTCCTTCGTCCGTAGGGGGCTCCTGAGCTGTCTGGTCTCACGATCCCCACCTTGTTGCCCGGGTGCGCCTTTTCTTTGGGGGGACGAGGAAGGAGGAGGACTGTGGCTCTGTTTCTTTGTTTCGGGAAAATCTCTGCAGCCCTGGAGTGTTACCTGAACTCCTTCTGCTTCGTGCTTCCCTACCGAGGTGGGGAGAAACTGGAAACTCGCTGAGATGCCGGGAACGATACGGCCGGCGCGGCAAGGAGCGCGGGGCCAGGCTCCGGGAGGGTTCCGGGGCGAGAAGCGAGTCGCTCGTCTGTCCCGGGGAGGGGCTGAGGGCGACCCAGGTCCCATTGCGGCAGCCCGCTGGAAGCGACCAGGGCCGCCTGGGCACGGGGCACCCACAGGAGCCCATCCGGAGGAGGCGGCCTGGCCGCTGGGCATGTGCTCCCTACTGGAGAAAGGGCAGGCACCTGAGTTCGGCGGTCCACCGCCTCCAGTCCAGGACTCGGGACGGTGGCACCCGGTGTGCCCAGGTGCACCAGTCTGGCAGGCAGGGCCCAGGTGAAGTGCCCTACCGCAGTGGGGTACAGACTCCAGAAGCCCCGGGGGCGGGTGGCTGTCTGCACTGGCACTGGCACTGACACTGGCTCGGGCTGGGAGCCCAAGCTCCCCTAGCAGTATAGAGTCCCTGGGCACAGCATGGTGGCCGAGGAGTCCCGTTCATTTAGGCGGCAGGCTGGATCTTGAAGAATCCTGGTTGCTTGTTTGGAAAGGGAAGGATAGCAGGTTGGTGCAGGTGCACTTGGTGAACAGGGGTCATCTGCTGGGCCTCCTTGCCCACAGGCTAAGATTGCAGGGGGAGATGCCAGTGCTCAGGGAGCTCCCAGCCAATAGGAACCGCCTGAGTAATGGAAAATTAGGAAGGCTGCGAAGCCGAGTTACAAGGTGTTTGGAAAACTTACAGGGAGGCAGGGTTGATGACCTAGCCTGGGGGTCTGGGAAGGTTGTCCAGGAAGTGAGGGTAGAGCCAACCTGCCTTGAGAAGGGATGGGGACTGGGAGTGTGTTGTCATATTTTACTAGGGGAAGAGACCTAGGGACACAGGGAGCCCAGTGAAGGGAAGGGAGGCCTGGTGGGACAGTGAGGGGACCTTCCTGAGGAAGCCTGGCGGGTGCTCAGGACTCTACCACCTTGTTTACTGAGTGGCCTCTGAAGAGGTGAGACCTCTGTGGACAGCGGGGACTGACTGGGGACACCACTGAGTGGGTAAACACCATGTGAGGTTGGGGTGGGGGCGTCCTTATGGGCTGGGACTTCCAGCTCTGCTCATTTTAATGATCAACTGGTGAGCAGGCTGGGCCTTTGTTCTCAGCCTGAACATTTGTTTGCTCTCCCGCAACTTTCCTCTTACTTCCACCCCCAAGGTAACCCTTCTAGCGAGAAGGTCAGCTGTTGTGGGAGCCACATGCAGAGCCTTCCCGGGCTTGGGGCTGCTCTGCGGAGCCCAAGTCACTTTCATTGTAAGAGCAAATTCGGCCTCACTGGTGTCATAATAATGACCTCAGGCACTGCTGTGACTCTTTCTTCCACCTGAGTGGTGTTGAACACTCTATAACATTTTAAACTCAGTTATAAGGACACTGTGGCAGAGAGGCTGGGTAACTTTCCCAGCGAGGGGCAGAACTAGGGATGACCACGGGCTCCACAGGTCAGTGCAAAGGTGGAGACACAGGAGGCTGAGATGGCGACCATCAGCGTGGAGTGCCAGTTCCCTTCCCTCCCTCAGTTCCTCCTTGGGGTTAGAATGTTCCAGGACCATGGAAAAATGAGAGGAGGAAGGTGTGACTAGGCCCAGGGGACCCTGATTCCAAAGGGCTTGCTCCCCGACATGGCTCTGCTTCTCCTCCACCCAGCAGAGCCCAGCTCCTGCCACACCTAGGCTCTGTGCTGCCTCCTCCAGAGGCACAGCAGGGCCGGGAGGGCCTGGGACTTCCCAGGGGGCACTGGAGGGCTGGCCTCATTGGGTGATGGGGAACTGAGTGTCAGGATGCTGGTGTGGATGTCCTAGAGATGGTAGAGCCAGTGACCATCCCCGACCATCATGTTAATGCCCCACCCCTGCACTGGGCCTGATCTCCAAGTGTGAACCAGGAGCACTGAGGCAGGAAGGAATAAAGACTGGTCAGCTGAGTGGCTGGTCAGTGTCATTACTGAAGAATTGGAAACTGGCCCTGCTGAGGGGAGGTGGAGGGCTCTGGAGGCTGGGAGCAGCCCCTAGAGGGTGGGGTGGGGCCACGGCTCTGTAGGCCCTGGTGCCTTTCCCCTCTCTGATCTCTACTCCCTTGATGCTCCCTCATCCCATGGTCACTGAGCCTTCTCCTGCTCTTCTTGTCCCCTCCTTACACTCCTGGGCATTTGTCATGGACCCCAACACTGGGCCTACCCCAGGACACATTGGGTGGTCTCAGGAGTGGAGTGTAGGAGCATGAGCTGAGGACTTCATTGGGCTAGCCTCTGGCTGAAAGGCTGATTGGGGAGCCCTGGCTTGCAGTCCCCAGGAGTGGTGGGCCTGGGTCCGAGGGGGGGAAGGCTTAGGACACCCCTGTGCCACTGACTGTCCTGGCCCCAGTGGGAGACTTCTGGGGAGGAGCAGAAGGTTGTCTCTGGTAGGTTAGTGGTTCAGCTGGTCACACAGGCAGCTCTGCAGATGACCCAGGGCAAAGCCCGGGCTCCCTTAGGAGGCAGAGACTTACCTGAGGCTTTTTTCCCCTTGGTCACCTGGTTATGGTCAGGAGAGAGGGTGACTTGCTCGCATGGGTGTGGGCAGTTACCTGCCTTATACACAGAGTGGAGTTTGGGAGGCAGGTGACTCCAAGAGGTGCTTTTTGCTCTTCTAGGAGGTGAGTCAAGGAGGGGGAGGTGACAGCTGGGCATTTGGTGTGGAGAGTTAAGCCACCAGGAGTCAGTGTCGGGTGGTCAGGAGGGGTGGCTAAAGTCTGGAAATTTGGGCAAGTGGGTGGAAGAATGGGGACGCTCATGTAGGACTGTGAAGAGAGGCCTTGGCAGCTGAGTTGACACTCGTTAGAAAGGCATTTTCAAGTGAGAGTAAAACTGTGAGATGAGACCAAGCCTGGGTCTTACTGTTGCTCATCTGTGTGTGATGTGAGACCTAGTGTCAAATCCCCATTAAGGCCATTGCTTTCCAAGGGGCCATCCTGGCAGGACACTGGGCCTGACTTCATTGCAGTGTCATCTTGGGGTCACAGGAAACCGAGTTTTCTAGGATTGAAGGGTTTGGAACTCATTTTGTGAAATTCTGAGGATTATGAGTTTGGTGACATTTTCATGTTCACTGGGAACATGTTTATAAGGAATTGGGATTGACTTTCAAAGACCGTCAAGTCTGGCCTCCGAGCTAAGGTCCTTGAATGCGTTGAGAAATGATCTTCCACTCCCAGAACAAATGTTTTTAGGGTTGAGGAATTCAGTGCCTTCCAAGGTAGCCCCTGTTTACACTTGAACTTTCTAGTTTCACAAACGTGGCTTCCCTGTATGGAGTTGATGCTTGCCTTCCTGAGGATTCTGATTTTTGATTCTGGCATCCTCCTTTTGATTTACATAGAATAAAGAGAATCCTTGTCTAGGTAGCAGGCCTTTAGCTGCTGGGAGACAGCCTCATCTGCTGTCACTATGTTGAGTGGTTGGCACAGGTAAGGCACCATGCCGGAAAACTTATTTCTCACGTAATCCCTGTATCTGCCGTGTGGTTCTTGTTATCCCCATTTTACAGATTGACTTGGGCAAATTCTTTAAACCTCAGCCAGTGGCCTGTACATAGTATTAAGTAATCCGTCCCCTGGAGTGGTGGCCCGGGGACCTATGCTGCCTGCCTGTCTGTCATTTTAGAGGAGGCACCCAGCTTTGTGCACCTGGACCCCTATGAGGTCACTGACTTGGCCAGGTATGGGTTTCCCATCTCTCTCTGTTAAATTTCATCTTACTCATTTGGTCTTTGTAACTCAGAAAATATTTGAACACTTTCTTTGTATGACACAAAGCTACAGACTTAAAAAAGAAAATAAAGAGGACCAGACCTGATTCCTGCCCTAAAAAGTTTGTAATCTCTCTGGTACAATGAGTCATTCATAGAAAAAGAAACTTGGAGGATGCAGGCAGTACCTCTCCTGAGGTCATCTCTCTCTCTCTCTCCCTCTCTCTCTCTCCCTCTCTCTCTCCCTTTCTTTCTCTCTCTCTCTCCCCTGTGTCAGTCATCATGTTTGCTATTTGCCTGAGTATCTTATACGTGTTTACATTGAACTTTCAGCCAACAGTGCCTTATAGCCCCGAGAGGATACAATATCATTTTGTGCAATGTGATTTTAGTGCAGTGGCTTTGGCACAAGGGGTTCTTTTCGATTGTTTGGTCATTGAAAGAGAAGTGTCTGTGGGTGTTGGTGGCGTGACTTTGGAGTTTGAAGAAGGGACACAGAACCTGAGCAAGGTGGGGGCTTTCCAAACCTGAACAGCGCCTGGCACACAGTGGGACACCTCATGAAGAAGCAAGTGCCTGCATGGGGCTGTGTGGTGATGTTGGTGGAGCCTTAATTACAGGGAACACCCCTGACTAAAGTCTGTGTCTGCAGGCCTGACTTTATTCCCATTGATTTGGTTGTTTTCAAAATAAGCCTCCAGCAAATGTGTTCTGAGGCCTCCAGAGGAGAGAAACGAGAAGAAACTATTCTTGTCTTTGAAATGACTTCATCACTTCCCACATCCTTTCATCACGGGGTGCAGCTAGGGTTCCACGGCCTTGTCCTGGGTGTGACAGCTGGACAGGTGGCTCAGGCTGACCTGTCTCTGAAAGCACAGACTTGAGTCCGTGATGCTGCCATATGGGAGGAGGAGTCCAGAGCTTCATCCTCTTTTCCTCTTTTGCCACTTAAAGGAAAATTTCCCAAACTGCTTCATTATGGACGGATTTCTAGGATGGAGAACAATCATCTCTGTCCTTTAAATCAGCGGCCCCCAACCTTTTTGGCACTGAGGACTTATTTCACAGAAGACACTTTTTCTCTTTTGGAGATGGGCGGAGATGGACAGCTTTACATACAGAATACAGACGCAGCTGTCCTCCCTCACTTCCTGCTGTGCGGCTGGGTTCCTAATGGAACCTACCACCCTGGGGTGGGGACGGCAGCTTTAAACTACAGGAAAAGGCATTTGCTAAACAGTGTTGCCTCTGTCATCCAGGTTCTACCTTTGTCCTTTCAGAAACCAGTTATTGAGATTTATGGTCTTGTGTGGGTGTAGAAATACCTGTTTTGAAAATTAGGCAATGTGGGACTGAATGTGATTTCCTGGCCCGTTGAGGACAGTGACCCTTCCCCTTTCGGATCCAATGCCAGAGGGAACATTTCCCTCTTATTTTATTTTCAGCTAGAGAAAATTACAGGCAGCACAACTCTTGTCTTCTGTTCCAAAGCCCCTGGTAGCTGATCTGGGCACACTTAATATTTTTGGCTCTAATGTTTTGTGAATTGTAGGATTGTTGGATGAGATAGGATTGTCCGGTGATTGCCTCTGGGTCCTGTGGCTTTTATTGGACAATTCATGGTGGCTCTTGGCGTTCGTCCCTTTCCTGGCTTCCTCCTCTCACTGTCAGGGATCTTGAATGAATAGCAAGCGTGGATTTTGAGCACTGATTCGTCATTCCTTTCAGAGGGCTCTTGAGCTGGGAAAGCCGCCAGTGGGATCGGATTTTCATTTCCTGAAACTTCAACCAAACCTATAACTGGTGAGATAGCAGGGCTGAGAAACCAGAGGAGTGAGACTGCGTCTGGTTAGGCAGAACTCTTTTGAAAGTAATCCTAGGAAGGTGCCAACTTCTTCCTGCTTATGAGACAAGAGAGCCCGATTTATTTATTGTGCTGATGTCAAGGCTTAGAATCCTCTCCACAAAGAAGACATCAGAAAGGGATATTAGTCCGTGACAATCGCGCCTTAAAGGCTTACGTGTTATAAATGTATTTTAGGTGGTGATCTTTCCCACCTGTACATTAGTCAGTTTTCTTTCCTCATACCCAGAAGGGTGTGGACTTTATATCTTAACATACTTCCCAAAGCTATCAACATGACCTGATTCTTATATTTTATCTGTACATGAAGAATAAATAAATGATCTGGTGAATTTTTATTGTGATCTGTTTAGTGAGCTTGCTAAGATTACAAAGCCATACTCATTTTGATTTACTCAGGTGGTTGAGTGATTTTGGTTTAGTGATTCAGATACTAATTTTGTTTATGAGATGTAGAGGCGGCAGTCTGCTGGCCCTTGTGACACCACAATGGCTCCATGGAACTTTGATAGCAACTGAGCTTGGCGTGGTAGCCCAGGAGTACTTACCAAATGCAAACTGCAAGCGCCACAGAGTAGCCCTCTTGTTCAGCAGGTGGTTAAATATTTATCAGCTTTATCATTACTTTTATTTGATGAAAATTTGTGTAGCATTTATTGTATGGTAGGCGTTAAGCACTTGATTAGTATCAAGTCATTTAATGCCTGCAACCTATCGTAAGGGCTACTGTTATCTACATTTGCAGATGAGGAAACTGAGGCACAGAACATTAACTTACTGCAGGACACAGCTAGAGGGTTACTGATCCTGGTCTTGGACTCAAGAGTCTAACCCAGAGGACTGTGCTGTGCTGCCTGCTACCGTTTGAGTGCTTACTATGTGCCTCTGCTGTTTGAGTGCTTACTGTGTGCCTACTACTATTTGAGTGCCTATATTGCACCAGCTGCTGCTTGAGTATCTACTGTGTACCTGCTGCCGTTTGAGTTCCTACTGTGTGCTAGCTACTGTAAATGCCTACTGTGTACCTGTTGCCATTTGAGTGCCTACTGGGTGCCAGCTGCTGTTTGAGTGTCTACTGTGTACCTGCTACTGTTTGAGTGCCTACTATGTGCTAGCTACTGTAAATGCCTACTGTGTTCCTGCTGCCATTTGAGTGCCCACTGTGTGCCACCTGCTGTTTGAGTGTCTACTGTATGCCAGCTGCTGTTTGCGTGTCTACTGTATGCCAACAGCTGTTTGAGTGCCTACTGTGTTACAGCTGCTGCTTGAGAGTCTACTGTATACCCACTGCTATTTGAGTGCCTAATGTGTACCAGCAAGTGTAAATGCCTACTGTGTTCCTGCTGCCATTTGAGTGACTACTGTGTGCCAGATGCTGTTTGAGTGCCTACTGTGTGCCAGCTACTGTAAATGCCTACTGTGTACCTGCTGCCATTTGAGTGCCTACTGTGTGCCAGCTACTGTAAACGCCTACTGTGTACCTGCTACTGTTTGAGTGCCTACTATGTGCTAGCTACTGTAAATGCCTACTGTGTTCCTGCTGCCATTTGAGTGCCTACTGTGTACTTGCTGCCATTTGAGTGCCTACTGTGTGCCAGCTGCTGTAAACACCTACTGTGTACCTGCTGCCGTTTGAGTGCCTACTGTGTGCCAGCTGCTGTACATGCTTACTGTGTGCCAGCTCTCCTAGATGAAGAATATTAGACCTTGATCAGGCCTGCTGCAAAGCCCAGAGCCTTCTCCAGGCTCAGGTGCCCTCATTGGGAACATGGTCTTGTGGATGGGTGGTCTTGAAAATAATTTCCTAAAATATTCTTTGGTCATTTCAAGCCTATGGGAGAGAGGTAGAGGAGAGCTCTTCATACTCATGACAAAGTATTAAAGATAAGTCCTCTGATGGTACTTGTTAAAGAGGGTGTGGCAGACTCTTCAGCAGGACCGCTGTGGTAGGTGCAGGCACTGATGTGGTGGGCTGTGCAGTGGGAGAGAGAGATTGGGCTCAATGCCGAGTGCAGCACAGGCAAGTGGGAATTAATTCATAGCAAGGAGCAGGATGGAGGTGGTGGGTGAAAGAGTCATTAAAAGAAAACTTCAAGGGTAAGGGGCACTCTGGCCATACTGACCTAACAGGATTCTCGCTGAAGGCGGGTGAGGTGGTCAGGTGTCACTTGGGGGATGGTGGAGGGTGTGTAGCCCACTCAGATTTGAGAGTGATCAGATACTGAGGGTGGGGTCTTGCTAAACTGACCTAGCAGGGTTCTTTGCCACAACTGCATTTTACCAGGAAGTGCACAGACAGCTTTGGAGGTTTAGGAGCCTAAGAAAGTCGGACAAGTGAAGAATCTTGTCAGTGGGGAATGACATTGGAGGGAGAGCTTTGCTGTAAAGCATGTCACGGTGATGGTGTCTCTAGTATCATTGTCAACTCTTCACAAATGGCTATAAACAAAATGGTCCACGGTTTACCTTTCACTACTGCTTATCTTAGCTCTGAATTATGTCGTATGGATTTAGGGCAGTGAATGGAGTGGGTGTGGATGTGTTTTATGGAATTGCGTTTATACATGTATTTATTAAAAATCAAGAGATCCCGGTGGCTTCCTTAGAAGAGTCAGATGTAGGCTGTTGCTGGTGCTGAGCTCTCTGGCACCTGCCAGGTACTGGACAGTCCACGGGAGGGAGCACCTGTTGGCCCCTGCTGTGCTCCTTGGGGCTTGGCCTTACGAGACACTCCTTTTCTTAACAAAATAGTGGCGACTACCCTGTTGTTTTTTTCAGATGAGGAGCCTGAGAGTTCAGCAAGGTTTAGTTACTTCCCCAATGAACCCTCCAGGAGGTGGTGTTGCCAGGAGTTGGCTCCTGGTCTTTATCGCCTGGCCTGTCCTTAACCCTTCTGACCTTGATGGGTTTAGAATCTGCATGTGGCTTGGTGCCTGTGGCTCAAGTGGCTAAGGTGCCAGCCATATACACTTAAGGTGGTAGGTTTGAATCTAGCCCAGGCC